ACACACACACTCCTACAGAAACACACACACCTACAGGCACACACACACAATGGAAAATAATAAATCTTTTCTGAAAGATTCATTGATAAATGGCAAGACAGTTTTGAAAGAATAGTCCCACATAGCAAACACTAACTGAAGATATTATGAATCAATGCATCTATTCTCATGTCTGGCTTTCCATCTTCTACTTCCCGGACCTATGTTGGGGCCAAGAAGCCCAGGTCTCTGCTTGTGCCCATTCCTATGTCTTCTGACCAGGCTCCAAACCACAGCAATTTCCATCGGCAAAAACACTACCTCAGAAGCCATCTAAAGAACACTGCAGGCGTTTGCATGCCGATGCCATCTAACGTAATCAAGAGATAAGCCCAGACTGGAGAGGAACTTAAAGAAAGTGGGAGTTAGTCGAGGATGGGACAGGCGGAATCTTAGGGGAACTACCAAGTACCAAGCCAGACCTTAGCTCCTAGAGGAGACTCTGCCAGCAGACATTCCCAAACATGAAAACTCAAGACCTGTTCTTCCCTGGCTTCTCAGTATGACAAGCACTCAAGGACAGGGACGGCAGATTTATGGTCCGGAGGCTATCACCCAGAACCGCGCCTCCCTCATGAAGGAGCTTGTCTAACACATCAGGCGATGTGATGGATGCCTTCCTCCATGCTGGCTTTCCCAGAATCCATCACAACCCATTTCTGGGAGACTCGTAGCACCTCTCTGCAGGGGGGACTCTTTCTCTGCCACAATGTCAGACAACTGTGGGCTTTTCTGAGGAAGGATAACGGAGGCCCTGTCCCACACAAACGTTTGGAAGCACCACACTTTTCAGCCAATCCTCTGTTTTCTTCTCTAGCACAAAAAGATGGCATGCCCTAATATGTGCTACTGACAGGATGGTTCCTGGAAGGAGACACTTGGAACGGCACCGTCGTGGCCAGTGAGCCTGGGGCCCTGGGGACTGTATTTCCGCAGCTGTGACTAGTTAAGACATTCCGTCCCAGAGACATCCATTCCACGCGGGACGTGGATTTTATGACGAGAGAGGCGCCCAAGAAAATTAAATAAGGTTGGCTCAAGGCTCAGGCCGTGTAATCAGTTGTTAGGGGTGCAAAGGGGATTTTGCCGTCCTAGAGAAACTGAGATCCTGTGTAGGAAGGCGTTGTTATCCGAGAGCATACCTGTTCTGAGAGCGTAGGGGCCGCCTAGAAAACACGGAGATTTGATGTAGGAAGGCATTATCCAAGAGATGACCTGTTCTGAGAGCGTAGGGGCCGCCTAGAAAAGGAGCAGCTGTTGGAGCCACAAGTATTATATAGTAGATGTATGCTGGATGAACGGGAGCAGCAGAGGTCTGTATTTCTCCACCACAATACATTTCTTAGAAGATATGGTGAATTAACCTCCATTCTAGGCATCCAGTGAACGATCTCTCTCTCTCTCTCTCTCTCTCTCTCTCTCTCTCTCTCTCTCTAACACACGTGTGCGTGCACACGCGCGCACACACACACACACACACACACACACACACACACACCTGAAAGGCGTTGAACACAAAAGCGCTTCCTTTGGTTCCAAGTTCTATGACTGCGTTCGTGCCCCACCTCTTCCTTTCAATCTGTTTATTTATGGGCTCTTTGACAACTCAGACGCTAAGCCAGTGGCCTTGGGCTGTAATTACAGAAACTTTAAAAACTCAGAGTTAGCATGTTTCTCAAATCAATTAAAAGTGCTTAAAAATATCTAGAGAAGCCAAGAACAACCAAAGCCCTAACCACCTGAACGTCCCAGAGAGCTCAGTGAGGATTGACAATCTCAGGCGGGCTGGGGCCTGTAGGGAGTAGGAAGCAGGGCTGAACAGGGGCAGATTTGTTCCTCGAATGCTGCTGACTAATCCAGAAAGGACAGTCAGAGTGGAAGGCAGACCTCAAGCCCCATCCCTTAGCAAGTTGAGCTTTGATGCTCGGGTGTAGGTCTCACATGGACAGCCAGCAACACACCAAATTACACAGTCAGACATGGTTCTCCCTGTCTCTGGTGGCCATTGTTCTTCCAGAAGATTTGCAAAGAGAGGATTCACTCTTGGCTAGACCAGTTGGCAGGGCTGACATTCGCTCTGGATCTCACAGAGTCTGAGAAAAGGACGAGTCAGCAAGCGCAGCCCGGTGGGGACAAAACCATCCATGATTACTCAGCGAGAACGTCTGACCACTGAAAGGCCACAAGCTGGCAAGAACACCGTTGTTCCTGGCTGGGCAATCCCCTCCTTTAACAGATGAAAACAGCCCAGAGAGACAAGCAAAGCACCCGAGGCCACACAGCCAGTATACGGTGCACACAGAGATGGGGTTCCATGGCTCACTGTGGTGAAAAACATTTGTTAATCGCTCTGTGCATTTGCCTTTTCTCAAAAAAAAAAAGTAGAAGCTTTTGCAGGAGCCTGTGTGGTCAAGCTCAGCTCAGCAGGAGTGGAAGCGGTGACTCCCGAGAAGGACCTCAGGGATCTGAAACGCCTGACGTCATCAGCTCATCAGCTGGAGATACCAGCTCTTCTGCTCAGAGTTCCCAGAGAGAGTAGAGGTAGAACATGCCATTACAGAGAGATCATCTATGGGTGTGTGCTGGGGTGAGGGGCAAGGGATAAGCCAGGTGACACCTCCGAGCTCAGCCATGTAGCATGCAAGCCACCGAGACATCACATGGTCAGCCACCCCTGTCCTCAAACAAGTTTCACAGATGTAAGGAGGATACAGCACAGCCCACGCAGGCTGTGGTAGGAAAGGCAGGGGAGTAGAGCGGAAGGGGCCCAAGAGGAAGGAAGAAGAGGGAGGTGCCTAACAAAAACACTGACAAATAATAAAACCAGAGAACTCAACGGGGTGGGTGTGTGCAGCTACACTCAATTCTCATACGGGGGGTGGGGGGAAAGGGGGAGAGCTTGCAGGGAGGCTGAAAGCTATTCTAAAATCCTGGGTTGTCATAAAGGTCTTAGAAATAGAGAGACAATGAGAATGTCTGGAGCAGCCGCTCCCTCATGCTCGCTCTCAGCCATGCTTTCATCTCTCTCCCCCCAGATTCTAAGCACACGCTCAACACACACCTTCAACTCCCAGAAAGGAGACTTGACTTCACCCGGTAAGTATCGTGAGCTCCTGCTGGAAGGTGGGGTTTTACTCCAGCCATAACCTGACTGCGTCTGGGTTTTACAAAATGAACTTAGTGTGGGCGTGGGGGATACACGGGACTGGGTCTTCAGTACCTGCTGGGGAAACACACCTTTGCTCACCTTCCTGGTCCCTGGGCCTGCCGGTGTGTCTTTTTGAAGCCCAAAGCGAAGCCAACACAAGAGGGCACCTAAGCGTACACCTATTCGTATTAATTTTCTGTCCCTCCCACTCTCATTCCCACCCCAAACCTTAAATCTGACCCTTAAAGGAGTTACAGTCCAAGAAAGAAAACTTTAAGTAGGGCTGAGCCTCAGTCCGTAAAATGCTTAACTTCTTGAGGACCAGAGCTGAACATGTGTCCCCCCCCCAACCCCCAAACCACCAAGTAAAAACTAGCCATGGTGGTACATGCTTGTAATCCCAGCGGTGGGGAGGTGCAGACAGGTACCCTAGGTGTCTGGGGCTACTTGGCAGTTTCAGGTCAGCGCGACCCTGTCTCCTGGAAAGCAGGCGGTGGATGACACCTGAGAAACAGTGCTGTCACATGCACACAGACGCACCCACACATGTGAATGCATGTGAATACACATGCATCTACATGCACACGAGACTAAGTGAGCTGATCTGTAACTTCATACTACAGTGTATTGCACATTGGGGAAACACTGGTGTCGAGGCTGATTTGAGAACGGAACCTGAGTGTTTGTCAGCGAGCATCTTGACAGCTCACGTTGGATCACACTTGTGCTACAGGTCACATAGATAGGTAGGGCGGCCCACACATAACCCAGGGGTCCTGTCTAGCCTGTCCTTCTGAATCATCCTCCCTCAGAAGCGTGGTAGGAGCTAGAGTCAGAAAAACCATGTTGGTCAGTTTCATTTCCCCCGTTCAAGAAGCAATGATGAAACACCCCCAAAAGCAATGCTTTAAAAACACCTGGGTTCCTCTTGATTACCTCATGGGAAAATAACAGCAGACAAAACTAAACCTGGACTGGCTTCGGGTTTTGTTTGAAAGCCTGCAGGTACATACATGTGGCAGGCTGGATTCTATTCTCCCAACTTTCCTCAAGAAGTCTGTTTACATTCTGACAAACCCCCACCAGCCCCCACAGGCCTCCCATCTCAGAATGTTATCACGTTTGAAAACAAGGCTCTTGCCGGCACTGGGGATAAGAAGGGGCTGTGAGGGTGGGCCCTCATCCAGTCTCACCGATAGCCTCATAAAGAGATTGGAACACACATGGAGGAAACACAACCATTTACAAGCCAGGGAAAGGGGCCTCAGACAGAAATCAGTTCTGCAGACGGCTCCGGCTTAGACTTCCAGTCGCCAGCACCGCGAGGAAATAAGCCCTAAGAGTTTAAGCCAAGGGAATAGGAGCTGAGAAGCCTGGGTGAGGAGTTGGACTCCTAAGGATGATGAGAGGAGACGGACATGCTGAACTCCAGGAGCTGAGAGACACAGTGCCCCGCTGAAGGCTGCAGAGAAGATACCAAGGCTTGGCAGACCCGTTCCAGTGGAGAGCCGGGAAAGACCTGGGACTGGTGGGCAGGGGCGGCTGGGGGAAATGTGGGCTTTTCCACACCAGCGTGGAGGCAGACAAGACATGGTGGCAGTAAATCCTACAGTCAGATGTCACTGGGTGGTGCCACATTAATATGAAGCTAATGGAGGAGCCGTTTAGAGAAACCATAGGTGTAGAACATAGCAGGAAACCCAGGATCCAGGACATCAAGGGCAAAATTGTGTTAGGAACATCCTGGCAAACACAGAGTAGCAAACTGCTGACGTGTGCCATGTACTTGAACTTACCAAACCTTTCATTACTGAAATATTTGGGACACAATAAAATAGAAAGCTTACATTCAAACATGGAATAAAAGCTGTGGAATACCTAGAAATAGCAACATTGCCGTGCCTTTGCCAATCATCACAATCGCCATCACAATCCTAACATGCTGTAGAATTACCGCTTAGATTCGGACAAAACTATCTAAGGGCTTATAAACAGAAAGAGAAATTCCTAAATCTAACAAAATAATGGGTATTAATAATACAGACATATATATATATCATATGTTCTCTGTTATTTTTCTAAAAAATGTAGTAACTCTATTTTTTTATTTTTTAATTGCATATCTACTTGAGAATACATGCATATGAGTACAGGTTCCCATGGAGGCCAGAAAAAGGTGTTGGGTCACCTAGTGCTGAAGTTATGGGTGGTTGTGAGCTGCCACTTATGACTGCTGGGAACTGAACTCAGGTCCTCTGCAAGGGCAGTACATGTCCTTAATCGCTGAGATCTCCCAACCCCTAAAATGGCTATTTTTCCTTGGCCTTTGAGTTGGAATAGCTGTCCCTCTAAATTGTCACCCACATGTACATGGGCAGGAATTCCATCTGCAATGTGTCTCGGGCACGGCCATCTAACTGTTCACTCTACCATCTCTGTTAATTATAGAAAGTTCTTAATGTTGAGTTTAAAGCCCACTCCTTCTGACACTCAGTAGATTCTTCTTTTGAGACAGAATGAAACCATCTGGGCCCAAACAATTATCCCCATCTTCTTCGTCTTCTCTTCCAGACTCTTTTATCAAACTCCCTAGAACGTGGTTGGCTGATTCCCTGGTGAGTCATCTTAACTTGTACACACTCCACATTGGAAGCTGTTCCTTCAGTTGTGACATCTTTTATGCTCTGATAATTATAGTTGTTGTTCCATACACAGTGATTAAGAATCTGTTAGGTGCCATAACTAAGCTAGAATTTCTAGTCACAAAGAGTCATGTAACAAGGTATCTAGAACTCAGGACTCAACTCTTCTCATCATATTTACTATCTAAACACTGATTTGGTTTTGGGGAGGAACCACGTGGTATTCTGGTCCCACAGCAGATGCATAGCTGATTGATCTCTTCACGTAGCCCTCTGCTCTCACAGAGCTCCAGCTGAAGTTCTGAGGATCTTGCCTTTCATTACTGAGCACTGTTATTTAGAAACAGATGGAAATCAATGTGTTCAGATCATTTCAAAACCAGATGTTCAGACCCCTTAATCTTTAACCTCCAGCTTGTTAGGTTGTTTACTGTGAAAGTAGCTTTTACATTTTTGTTTACATCATTGATGGAAATTTTTCTGTTCAAGTCCAAGAGCAAAGAACTCTACCATGCCTGGAGGTACCCTTTCCAGGGTAACAAACACTTGACTTGCCCCTTCATGTGTATCAAGATACTGATATATCATCTGTACATCAGCATCCCACACACCTCTCCCTTATTCAGAATGTGAAGGTTCACACAGAATAATACAATAATAAAGACTGTCAGAAGTTCCTTGGTACTGTTAAACCACTTCTATGGAAAGAAAGGGGGAAAAAAAGGAACTGCACAGACATACCACTGATTTAAAAAAAAAAAAAAAACGCCAGAGGACAAATCAGTCAGAGCAACAACAGACTCTGAAGAACCCACAGGTTGCACTATCAAATCGTGTGCAAGAAGGTCATGAAAATGTGGGAATCTCATGCTCTAGAGAGTTCCTGTGTGTCTTGTCACTCTTCTGGGAACACAGGGGCAACCTTCAGGAAGTATAAAAGGAGTTCACTGTAAAGCATATGGTACCATGCTACAGGTAGGGGATGGTAGATGCCTCAGTGGTCAAGAGCAGGTTCAGTTTCCAGCACCAGCTTGGTGGTTCACAACTGTCTGCAACTCCAGGGGATCCACTGCCCTCTTCTGGCCCTATCAGGTACTGCACTCATGTGGTGCACATATACACAGGCAGGCAATACTTACATACATAAAATAAATTTTGTTTAAAAAAAGATGCCACAGGCATGACTCCTGGTGGATAATGCCTGATTGGGTCATGGAAACTGGTATTTCCATAGGCTTCAACTTGAGAGCTAATCATTCTTCTGTGAAAGGTTTTGGGCTAGTCCTTAGTACTTATACAAACCAACAGACAAAAGTAGGAGATGTAAGCATCACAGCTGGATCAAAGAATCCAAGTTCTCGATATGCTTGTGAGTGCATTGACAAAGGCAATGGAAAGTCTTGAGATGGAATGTTCCCCAGCTAGGGAAAATCATCCATTCACGAGAACCTCAGTATAAAAACAGAGCCCCATCTTAGCCATCCTCACACCTGTGCCTTGCTCGGGAAACGGAACAAAGTGCAGAAGTAGCTCACGGTGGCAATGGGTAGGTGACAAACCACAGTGAGGCTGAACTCTGAGTCTGGTCCAGATTCGATTGATGATAAGAGATTCTACAAGGATGCTGCTTAAGTGCTTTTATTTGTTCCTGATCAAGTCAGAAAACCATACGGATGATCAAGGTTCCAGATAGACGGGAATGAAGGCCAAAGCCTCACTGTTGCCCTCAGAGAGGATCTTCTGAAGCTCAGTGGGATCGGGAAGCACAGATTGACCCTGGGGGTGAATCAGTAGGTAAGGGGCTTGCTGCACAAGCGTCTGGCTCTGAATTCCCATCTCTTGCATCTGCATAAAGGGTCTGGAATGGCAGTGTAAACCTGTGGGCCCAACCTAGGGAAGCAAAACTTGTGGTCCCAACCTAAAGGAGTAAAACCTGTGGTCCCAAGCTAGGGGAGCAAAGAGCACTGTTAGGATGATCTGACTGCTCGCCAGTCAGCTATATTTGCCTGATCACTGAGCTCCCTATCCAACAAGAGACTTTTGCCTCCAAAAATAAATAAATAGGTAAATAAATGTAAAGTCTTTGGCTTGCTCACACACAAACAGGCATATAGGTATACACACATGCATAAACCAGCCACAATAAAAGAGAAAGCTGACACTAGGCGGGCATGGTGGTTCGTGCCTGTAGTTCCAGCACTGGAGGCTGAGGAGTTTAATTGAGGTCATCCTCTGCTCCATTCAGATTGAGTTCAGCCTGGGCTATATGAGACTCTGTCTTGAAATCAATCCACAAAAACAAACAAAAAAACCCGCTGCTGCCTGGAAGATCAAAAATCCATGGCCACCAGTGATAGCCAGTGAGACTGGAAAATGAATAAATGTCATAACAGTGAAAAGAAACTGTGGGAAAACAGGAAGAGCAACTACTGTATAAATATTAAAGGAAGCAAGCTGGGGGGAAGAAGGCAAACAAGAGAGGCAGTTTTCCATGAACGCTTTAAGTAATAGATTCACACAGCAATAACATAAGTCTGAGAAATAAGGCAACCGATTGGCATGATGAACAGTGTTCAGAGTCGGGGGCTGGCTCAGTAGGCAACTGTTTGCCCACCTTTGGTCCCTTCACGCATGCACGCACACAGGCGTTTTCTCGCACACCCTCGTGTATGCACCCACAGAAGCCTGTGCATACACCACACACCAAAGAGTGAAAGAGAAAGTTAAAAAAAAAATTCAATCAAAGTTTCTGTTGATTCCATGTTGGATCATTAAATGAATTAAACAAATTAGTGGCACCTTCTTTCTAATAATTCTTTTAATGTGAATGCATGAAAGTTTTAGATTACATGCGTAGCTCACAAATTTCAGATAGACGGGGGTCTATGTAGTTCTTTCAGGAAGCTGTAACAGCCATCCAAGATGCAGCAAAGTGAATTTACCCTTGAATATAAATAAAGGAAACTCAGCCTTATAAACTTTTATTGAAGAAGCCACCTGGTGAAATATAGGAGGAATAAAATCCAGGACTCATCACTGGGGGGTTACAGGGAGGAGGGTTAGTGGCCAGCACTGAAATATAACAAGACAGCGAAGATGGGGATTATGGTTACAGAGCCAAAGTGGTGTAAATCTTGATGATATTCAAAGTAAAGATATCAAGTAAGGCTCAGCAAACGTCTTCTGAAAAGAGACTGATAATAAATATTTTAAGCTTATAGGCCATTCGGTGTCTGTCCAGGCTATTTAACTTCTCCAATAGCAGTCAAATGGCCTTAACAGACTTTGTGTGATTCCAAGAGAGCATGGCCCATTGTGCTAAAATTTGTTTACAAAGCCCAGGCCCTTAGCATCTCTTTAGAGTTCTCTAGAGTTTCTCTGCTCCAGCCTCACAGCAGGAGTGGACAGCGCTTCACCAAAAGGGCAAGAGAAACTTAGGAGAAAGCTGTTTGTATGGAGCCTCAGTTACCCAAGAGGACAGCGGTCCACACTGGGCCTGCCAGGCACAGTTTACTGATGCTCTAAGGCAGGAAAGAAAAAGACGATGTGCGTGGTGCGGGGGCTGCGGATGGAGCTCATTTGGTAGAGCGGCACACAGGAAACCCTGGGTTTGATTCCCATCATGGCATAAACCACGGCTACAATCCCCACATTTGGGAGCTGGGGGCAAATGCATTGGAAGGTTTTCTGCAATCCTTGACTACTTATAGAGTTTGAAGCTAACCTGGGTTACATGAAACTTGAAACTCTATCTCAGAGAAAGAAAAAGAGGGAGGAAGGAGGGAGAGAGGGAGGGAGGGAGGGAAGGAGGGAGGGAGGGAGGGAAGGAGGGAGGGAGGGAGGGAGAGAAGGAAGAAAAAGTGATGTAATGAAACAAAAAATATCTGTGTTATTCAAAATTGCCCATGAAAAATAAATTGATTTTGTTGTGCTCTGTTGTGTACTCTAACTGTCCTCAACCTGCCTCAGAATTCCCGGTGCCGGGACTACAGGAAATGTGCCCCTGTGCTCTGGGAAGCACATCGGGTGGTGGTGGTATGTGCGCTCATGGGCTTAATTGCACCCACATGTCTGTGTAGCTAAGAAGATAACTTTTAGGATTTAGCTGTCTCCTTCCACCACGTATGATTCAAATCAAGGACCGCCTGAACCAATTCACCAGTCCTGCATTGTTGTTTTGAAAACACACAAAATTCCACTTTAAATATTTTTATTTTCTCGTAAAGATGACCATATATATATCTTTACAGTGGGGCATTAAAGAGAAGGAGGACAAGAAGTTAGCATGGGGTGAGGAGGTGAGACTGAACATGATCAAAATAGATTTATGGTATAAATGTGTGTGTGTGTGTGTGTGTGTGTGTGTATGTGTATGTATGTATGTATATGTATATGCGATACATACATATATATATATATATATATATATATATATATGTAACTGCATCTGCTTCAATCAGTTACTGGATGTAGGCGCTATGATGACATGACAACCAGGGTATTCACTGATCTGATTAAAGGGGCGGGCCCTTTCACAGGCACCCTCTCCACTATTGCTAGGAGTCTTAGCTGGGGACATCCTTGTGGATTCCTGAGAATTTCTCTAACACCAGGTTTCTCCCTAACCCCAAAATGGTTGCCTCTATCAAGATATCTCTTTCATTGCTCTCCCCTCCGCCCCTCTCCTAACTCAGTCTTCCCATCCCCTCCCTCCTACCCCTCCCCCCAGTTTACCAGGAAATCTGAACTATTTTCTATCCTGGGGCTCTCCATGAGTGTCACTCTTAGGGTTCTCCTTCTTACCCAGCTCCTCTGGGATTAGTCAGCCTTTGCTTTGCAGCTATATCCACTTAGGAGTCAGTATGTGCCATGTTTGTCTTTCTAGGTCTGGGTTACCTCACTCAGGATGGTTTTTTTTTGTTTGTTTGTTTGTTTTTTTCTAGCTCTATCCATTTGCCTACGAATTTCAAGATGCCGTTTTTTACCACTGAATTCAGTTAACAAGAGGGAGGAGGAATCATATGAACAAGGTGGTTTAGGAGCATGATGGGGAAATCCACAGAGACCCTGACCCAAGCTAATGGGAGCTCACAGACCGTGAACTGACAGTCGAGGACCCTGCATGGGACCGAACTAGATCCTCTGAATGTAGGTGACAGTTACACGGCCTGATCTGTTGGGTGGGCCCCTGACAGTCACACAGGACCTTTCCCAGGAGCATGAGCTACTTTTTTGGAGCCCATTTGCTGTGATGGAATGCCTTGCTCAGCCTTGATACGGAAGGGCAGGGGTTTGGTATTGCCTCAGGTTGGTATGCTAGATCTTGTTGACTCCCCAAAGAAGGCCTTTCCCCATCTGAGGAGTGGGTGGGGGTTGGGAAGGGGGGAATTGGGGTGGGAGAATGGAAGGGAGGGGGAACTGGACTTGGTATATAAAGTGAAAAGTAATTTTTTTAAATAAAAGAAAATATAAAAAGAAAAAGTATGTAAGATACACCTTTGGAGATTAAAACTCTTTAGTCAGATGTTTGCTTCTTGTGCCTACATCAATTTTTTTCTATCAGTAAAATTTAAATAATGTCATTTTCTTTAACTTTAAAAAATAACGAATAGGTAATTTTCTATGCCCCCATTATTGATAGTATGCTTTCGCTGTTGGTTTTTAGCCGTTTTATATCCACATACTAAAAAACAGGTAGGAAGGCATTTTTTCCAAATAGTCGTGAAAAAAAAAATCCTCTACCCCCTGGGCCTTCACAGGGACAGAAGCCTGGTTATAAAGTAAGTGTCTGTGTGACAGCTGTGAGCAGCCACAGCCAGTTCTGACTCCATACTTGACCCCACCCTGTCCCCTCTGCACACCCAAACTCCCCATCACTCTTTTCTGTCAATTATTTATGATAATTATTTCTTTAAGACGAGCTCTGTTTCTGTTTCTTTGGCTTAGGCTCTCTGGTCAGCTCAGGTCAACAGTCCTGAACCTATACGTCTCTTTCTTCTCATGACATCTGACCCTCCAAAATCAGAGAATGTACTCTTTTCCCTTCTAGGTCATTTTGACGGATACTCTATGAGCGAAAAAAATTATAACCGCTGATAGTCCTGGGTCAGAGAGCAGCAGGTAAGAAAATCCTTATGTCGAGGGTCCTGTGTTTGACGACATTTGCTTCCCAATTTTTCTTCCATTGGCAGAAAGGAGATCATCCACTCTTAGGAGGTGGGGCACTACTCTACAGCACAGACGTGTTACCCGTGTAAAGCTGGCATATGATGGAAACCCTCGTGTTCTTATGGTGAGGCGAGAGATAATAGAATTCCTGAAGGCTCATTGGCAACCAGTCCGGTGTACACACTAGTGAACACGCACTAGAGAACAAAACGTTATGTCTCAAACAGGGCGGAAGTTGGAGACCAGCGTCCAAGGTTGTCCTCAGACCTACACACACACACACACACACACACACACACACACACACACACACACTTTTATGGTATAAGAAAACCAGCATCTCTTGTAGCTCTGTGAATTATATTCATTTTCTTCTGATGTCAGCCTGTCTCTTGGGTTCTTAACGCCCCTGCAAAGATAACGTTATCTTTTAATTTTAATCCAAAGCCACTCAAACATTTAAAAATAATTCCTGCTTGAGGAGAAACATCTATTCTGGACTTTGGAGAGAATAACCCTTCGGCAGTCTTTAAATAGTAAGCGCATCAGCAGATGCAATGCACCACACACCCCAAGCCCACAGAAATAGTCATTCCGTTTGTCCAGCTGCACGTAGCCACACAGATCTCAGCCCCGAGCATGCTGGGTATATTTAGCAACACTCGAGTTGCTTATCTTTCTTCAGTGTGTTTTAAAATTAATCCCAAGTTAGCCGCTTCTGCTGCTCCAAAATTTGACCCCCATTTTTCCCGTTTGAGTTTGTTGGAGACCCTTTCAGCCACTCTGAGGCTCCGTGGGAGGTTATCACCTCACGCATTCCCACTAATGAGGTAGATAAGAGGTGAGCTCAGACTGGCAATGCAGGAATTGCTGGGCAAGCACCTCATGGCACAGTGCTGGCATTGTGAGAACCAGCCAGACTCCGTGGGAGAGTCAGAATGAACGCCTGTTCACTCTAGGAAGGTCCCCGCCCCTTGCCGATTTTATGAGCTGCCTCAGACTTCAGATCCTACTACTGCCTCGCCACCCGAAGGCTGAGTTTGTAGACTGTCGCAGCAATTTGCAGGACTTACTTCTCACTTCTCAATCGATCATGAGGGGACAGAGAGAGTGCCATATGATTGATTCTCCAAAGGCTAGAACCCTGATAGCTGCATTTCCCTCTGGATGACGGAGTCAAGGATTATAGCCCTAACTGCCTTGTACTCACACTTCTAACTCGTATCCCAAAAAGACGAGGCAAAGGCCATTCGCTCCGTCCTTCTGTACCCTCATGAACAATGATGGGGAGGAAGTGGAAGGTGGGTACTCAAACACCAACACCAAGGTCTAGCTTCAATTCTAAATATTAATTTTAAATATTCCTAAATATTGAGACGTTTTACTGGATTAAGCTGTTAATTTTTCCATATGACCAGATATAAGAAAAGTCTTTTCAAGTCATTAGTAAATAACTATTCACTCTGGATTTTTCACAAATGTGTTTTAAAAAATAAAACAGAAAAAAAATCATGGGCACAGAAAATTCTGTCTCTCCTTCAGTATATTCAGTATACTCTTCAGTATAGCGAGGCTGTGAGGACTATGTGTGAGGACTATGAGCAAGGCTCCTGAGGGACACGCTCTGGGCTCAAGCTGCAGTCCTGCTGTGTATTGATTTAGTACATAGTGGAACCTAGTGAACAGCCAAGTGTTCCACTGCTTGCTGATTCTGTTTCCTCGTGTACAAAGGGAAGACTCCGAGTTTCTTGATCAGATTAGTGGAAAAATTAGACAGGTTAATTTAATATGCCTGGCATACGGTAGGTGCTATATGTGATTGCGGATGTTATTTTCAATACAAACCAGAGACTTCTTTGTGGGATGAAACAAATGGCCTAAGATGAATTTGACTTTCTTCATGTATTTGTAAGTGCGATCTGCTATGGAAAACTAGCATAAAACCAGGAGCAAAGGCGCTAATAAACCATGTTATTCTCCATCTTCCCCTTACTCATTGTTTGGCATGTCTCAAACACTTATTAAAGCGGGTCCCTGTAGACGTAAAATAGACTCTTTGGGGAGGAGCTGAAGATAAGGGACACAAGGTGAACACCTACTATCACAGGTCTTCTGGCTGAAGAAGGAATGGTATCCAGCAGAAGGACCAGTGAGGAAGAGAACAATTTCTATCTGAAAGACATTATTATTATCTGAAGAGAAGTTCGAGAAGTTTCACTGAGATTGAGACACTTGTGCTGAGAATCTGAAAAGGCAGGCTCCCCTGGGTCTAGGTTGTTCTGAGTCCACCACATTGAATGTGATGGAGAGAGTGGATGCAGACCGTGGAGACAGAGAGTCTCCTCCACCCCCAGCGACTGAGCAGGTAAATCCTCCCCCATGTGAGATAACAGAGCAAATGGGAAAATACTGAGTTTGAAAACACATCAAAGGAAACCAGTCAGAAGTTCAAGAAATGGAGGCAGGGTTGGGTCCCAGCTGGTAGAGTGCTTCCCTAGCAGGTGTGAAGCCCTGGGTTTGATCCCAGCAACACACAAACCAGGTGTGGTGCACACACGCAGGAAGTGGAAGAACGGATACAGCTCAAGACTACATAACAGTTTCAAGGTCACCCTGGGACTTGGGCACATGAGACCCTGAGAAATAGAGAGGGAGGGGAAGAAGGGAAAGAGGGAGGTGAGGAAAAGAACAAAGAAAGAGAATGATAGAAAGGAGAGAGCTAAGGAAGGAAGGTAGGAAAGAAACATCGAGGTGATAAGTGGACCCAATGCAGCAGACTCCTGAGAGGGTGTCAGCCCTCCTTAGCAAAATATTAGTGTCCAAGTAGAAAAAAGTTAACAGTGTTTACCTTTTCCAGACAAAGAGCTAAAGCAGACCTCTGCACCAAGCTTGACCCATCTGTGAAACCAGAACTAAACACACTCCACCTACCTCCCAGAGGCTTATCCAAGGAGGCTTGCCATGTCCCTGGGACTAGTGTGGGGGGAAAAAATTGAAAAAGAACACATTCGTGTGAGGATCCCATTCGTATTATTCCCAGGACATCAAAATAAAATAGCGTTATTGTGATTAAAATGCGGGTACACAGAAAAATCAACAACGCAAAAAGCAAACAAGGCCAAGGGCCGTAAACGTGGAGCACATCTCGGATGCACTAGTGCTTCCACTATACAAGCACTGCTCTTACAGAGGTGAGGTGTAAGATCTTTTCACAATGAGATTAAATTTTTAAAAGGCCACACACGGATAAGCACACTGACAACCCACCTCCCCAAGGAAAAGTCAGCAAGTGTCCCAGATGGAGACTGCACAGCACAAAAGCTAGACCTCTTTGACCTCAACAAGGCTCTCAGAACTGTCTTAGAGATTTATTGCTGTGAAAAGGCACCATGACCACAACTCTTATATAGGAGAACATTTCACTGGGGCTGGCTTACAGTTCAGAGGTTTGGTCCGCTATGACCTTAGTAGGAAGCATTCCAGCACATAGGCAGACATGGCACTGGAGAGGAGCTGAGAGGTCTACACTGGATCAGTAGGCGGCAGGAAAAGAGAGAGACACGGGGCCTGACTTGACTGTCTGAAACCTCAAAGCCCGCCTCCAGTGACACACTTTCTCCAACAAGGCCTCACCTCATACAGCAAGGCCACATCTTCTAACAGTACCAATCCCTGAGCCTATGAGGGCCATTTTCATTCAAACCACCATAAAAACTAAATGTCTTAATAACAAAGAAGAAAAAGAAACAGCAATGCAGAACCAAGGCAAGGAAGAAAAACAGCAGCACATGGGATAGCACAGCACAGTCCTTGCAGAGGTTTGAATGCGAAACATCCTTCACAGGCTCATGTGCACACCCTGTCTGTCTCCAGTGGGTGGCGCTGTTTGGAGAGGTTGTTGAATCTTTGCATGGTAGAGCCTAACTAGAGAAACTGTGTCAGGGATTGGGGGGTGGAGAATTGAGGGTGTGGGGGTTAAAGTTAAACTTTAAGGACTGTATCCATAATCTGATCTAGCCTACCATTCACAATTTACCTCTTCATGCACCTTCTCCATTTCTCCTCAGTTCATCCAGGAAGAAGAGGGAGCAAGCTCTCAAGTTCAAAGCCAGATGGGCATACATATGAGTTCAAAGCAAGCGCAGGCTACATTGCAAGATCATGTCTCAAAAACATCTTGAAATTTTGGAGGAGAAGATATTTGGATTGATTCTTTAAAGAATGACAATATCCAGACTAGGAAGGATGTTGTAAGTGCAAAGACGGATTGATGTGATGGCTACATGGTGCTATTTCAGGAAGATCTCCTCCTTGACTCTTTTCTGGATGATGTACTGTCCTGTGACTCCCCATCATGTGATTTTGAAGAGGTCGTTATTGAATTAAGAGATCCCTCAGCATCGTGTTGTTTTGGTGCAACAGATTATAATTTCATAAGCATTGTATACACTCTCTTATTCCTACAGTAACTCTGTGGGGTTTGCCTTACTCCATTTTGAGATGATGGAACTTATTAATAAAGAAGTAATTTTTAAAAAGTCATGAAGAATAAACACCGGAGACCAAGCTGTGTGCGCCATGGTGACAGGTTCACAGTTGCTCCTTCTCACAGGGATGCCCACCTGTCCTGTTCATCTCCACTTAGGTCAGGATGCTAAGGTGGTTTCCTTCCAGGCTTCCTGTCCCGCAAAAGTGACCCAAATTCTACCTTTTGCTCAGGGTACGACTGAAAACCTAGCGCTTTGGGACGATGGGTGATCCAAAGGCGAAGTCGTCCTTGTTCCTCATTCCTCGTCCCGTGCTAAAAGCTGGTGCCTTGGCACCTTATTCTCATGCCCTGCTCACCCTCTGGCCAGGTTCTCCTCCTGGCCAAACTTCCATTTAGTACAAACAAGCATCTAAAGCAGCCTAGGACATTATGCGAGGTTCCAGTGAAGGGTGACACAGAATGAAAAGGAAGCCATAAAAATCAGCTTAGCATTCAGGATAAACCTGGCATATGGACTGGAGCCACTCCTGGGGAGTAATATGGGTCAGAAAAGGTGAGCTCATTTCAACTTAAAAAGTGCTCCAAAGCCTTATGGGAACTGGATGAGGAAGATGGCTTCCAAAAAGAGAAGAATGCGTGTAAATTTGAGGTCTGATAGAAACCTTAAAATTCTTGTCATCCGTCCTCCCACCGCCCCCACAGCCTGATGGGAAGGAGCCTTTATGAGCAAGGATTCAGCCTCGACCATAAGAGGCTTTAGAGAAGCTTGGCCTGACTGATGAAGTCCTTGCCGTCAAGAAATTCTGGGAAAAGAGGGCTTGACTCAGGAGAATTCAGATGGACATAAATCAATGAGCAATGAGCACTTCCTCTCACAGGCAAAGCCAAGCCAGTGTTTCAGTTTTATGAAGCATGTCATTCTTGTCCAAGAAATGGTCCATCTTCTTTGTTGACCTTGGAGATCCAAAGGGAACGGATTGGTCTAAACAATTAATATTAATTACAATGTCCCATTCACAATGCATTGGAGTGGTAGGGTTTAATTTGCTTTTTCTTGGTGAGGAAGGTACCTTGTAGTAGTAAACTACTCAATTTTCATTGATCTTTGAATCTTTAGGCTACTAGAACACCGCTGAGATTACTAGTTCGCCCTAAAATACGACCAATCAAATAAGAAAAATACTTTGCCTTCTGCCAAGCACATATAATAGGTGTGGAATTGGGTCAGGTCAATAAAACACTTTTGTACACGCTTAGCCTAAGAACTGGCAACCTAGAGACCCAGGACCAGGGCTGTGTGCCATCTGGTTTATGAATGAAATTTTGTTGGAATGAGGCCACACCCATATTTTACATATTTTTCTCTGTGCTGCTGTCCTGCTGAAACAGCAGGCTGCTATAAAAGAGACCAGATGGCAGGCTCCAGATACAACTCATTTGGTAGAAGGCTCATGTGACATGCTTGAAGCCTTAGGCTCAGTCCCCAGCATAACAAACTGAACATGGCAACACTGTGACAGTGACGACTAAAGGATCAGAAGGTCACCCTTGGGTGCCCAGTGAGTTCTATGCTGGCCTCACATACACACAATCCCACGTAAAAAAAAAAAAAGTAAAAAGAATCAAATGGCCACCACAGACTACAAAGTTTCCCTGACCGTTCCTGATCAGCCTTTGTACTCTCAGCTGGCAAATGTAATTAAGAATATCTATCAATCTTATCTATTTCTCTTTATTGGATGAGCTTGACTGAACACTAGAAGTGATGGGACTGTGGTGAGGGGCAAAGAAATTTAGGGTCTGGCTCTTGCCCACAAGACCACAAATGCTAGGATCTAAAGTGGATAATTTCAAGGTATGCCTAAGTACTGAGATGGACATACACCTTGACACCAGGAAGACAAACCTGGAGAGCTTTCCGGAAACCAGAAAGAACATTCTTGAAAAACAGGGCCAGAGGGACTGATCAAAGAAAGACGCGTAGCCTTTTTATTTCGTATAATATAATTATAAATATAAAATTTTGCTAGAAAGATATTTTTATATTAATGATTTCTACCATCAAAGATAAAAGTAAGGAGAGCGGAGGAAACTTTTGGGGGCTGATAGATTTACAGCATTGATTATGACGACAGTCTCATAGCCAGTGACTTATTTCCACCCTCAGCAAATTGGATAGATACATCAATTGTGTGCAGCTTTTCGTATATCAATCCTACCTCAGGAAGGTATTTTTAAAAAAGAGTAAAAACTACACCATCAAAGTGCCGCAAGGAAGCGAGGATCACTGACAGGCCTGTTTTGACAACCAGCAGCAAAGGAGTCTCTGCTGCCTTTCTGTTGTGAGACTCTTGCCTGACATCACTGGTGCCTTGGGCTGGAAGGAGCGAGGAGCATCTTGTAGGCTAAACGGTTTGCACAGATTTGCCAAGTACACATGATTCCGAAAGGTGACAAAGAAGGAAGCAGCTTAGCTTTTATAAAATGAAAGTCTAGGCTTTATGAAACCCTCCTCATTTCTGGAAAAAAAGTTAATATTGTTGATAAATGGTGTCACTGGCAAAGACAAAATAAAATATATGGGTTTTTATTAGTTGTTAAAAAAATCTGGACAAGTTTTAGGCATCTCTATATTTGTGCGTGCATCTTTGTCCATGTGTTTGTTAACGCTGAGGGACACACGTGCTTAGATAAATAAGGCATAGATGTAGAGCTCTACCAAAACAAAAAAAAAGAAAAAAGAAAAGTGTGAGAGGATGAGATAGGATTGTCAGAGACCAATTGTCCACATTCTCGCTTCTGCTAACCTATTTTTAAAAACGACCTTGAAGTCTTTGACATCCCCTTCCCCTCACCACTGTTAACTGTCTACAACTGTCTATGGTGTGGACCATGTGAGCCTTCCCTCCTCCATGATTAAATATTGACAGGCTCAGTCTTCCTGGAGGCCTTGTACTGGTAATCCCAACTGCACTGAGTTCGTGGGTGTAATGCCCATGCCGTGTTCAAAACCATGTTTTTACAATACAGCTCCCCCCAATCCTTTGGTTCATCCATTCCTTCTGCACATCTTCCACAACACCCCCTGAACCTAGGAAGGAGTAAAATAAATGAATCCATTTGGGACCATACACTCCACGATCCCTGATTCTTAGCGCGCCAACCAGTTCTGAATCCACATTAGCCACTGCTCTCTACAGTAAAAAGCCTCTCTAACAAAGGTTGAGGGGAGTGCCAACACGAGGATGCAAATATGAGTGTTGAGGAGCCATGAACTAAATAAACAAGAATTCCAGTGCTAGGTAGGGGATGCTTCTCTGTGAGTTGTTTGTCGGGGAGTCCCCAGATGCTCTCAAAGCAGCACAGGCTACCATCATTCCTCTAAGCTGCCCATCATAACTAAACAAAAAGACTCTATTTCTGAAAGCATCGTGCTTCGGTCACAGGCTGTGGAGCAATCAAACTGAAACCGAGCCGAAAGCGGCTTGCTTCCTGGATGGCTGTCATGGAGTCGCAACATGTCCTGCAGGTGGCTAAAGGAGGAAAGTCACTAACAGCCTCATCCACCTGTGCAGGGTGTGAGCCACAATAACAAGCCAGCAAGATGTGCCCACTGGTACAGGAGTGGCATGGGTGTTTAGGAACAGCCAGCCACCTTGGGATTGGATTTGAGGTTCACGCCACAGGAGGAAACTCGTGGGGCAAACAACACATGCCTCATTCTCACCTGGCAAAGTCTGCTCTAAGGTTTGCTGAGGTTCCCTCCTCAGCAGTGTGGAGAAGGGGCCTAGGCTTGAGGTTTATCTGAAGTCAGGTGTTGAGTGCGCTCTAGGGTAAATGGAAGGCAGTTGTCTCGAGACTTCGGGAAAGAGTCTGTGGACGCGGTCTGCCTGACAGGACAGTGGAACCTGTGAAGACATGTTGAGAGGTGCTCTGTCACACAGGACAGCTAAGCAGGGAGCCTGAGCAGCCATCTGTGGTAAAGATCTTCACAATCAAAGGATTTGATGCTCCAAACCAGTGAGATAGTGTGACAGCTGTTCCCACAGACCACGCTGTGGAAAGTGCAGAATGTGAGACAAATGTCTCCTGGGGGGCTAGAAACACTCGTTTGCAACAATGCCACTCAAGACTGTGTCACTCTTGTTGTCTTCCCCATGCCCCCGAGTCCTCATCTGGAAGCACAAGAGATAGCAGAAGGTCAGTGGGAGGGGAAAATGGAGGGGAAGAGAGACGAAGCTGCACACAGTTCCTATTCCCTCTGCAGATTCCCGAGCTTGGCAAACCTGGCCGTGGAAAATGGAATTAAGTTTAATCTGAATGAGTGATGAAAGTTTAATATTACTTGGGGCTAGATTATATTATGGTTTTACCTTAAATTTCCCCCAAATGTCAATACCTCAGGACTTGGGTGGCAGCCTCAGGTGCTCTGAACCTTTGGGAAGGAGGCCCTAGTGTGAGGACTCTGGGTTATTGGAGGGGTTCCCTGGGATGCTGGACTCTGGTCCCTTTCTCCCATTCTTTGCTTCCCGGCTGCCATGAGGTGAAGAAGTATCCTCTACCTCGTACACCCTTTGGAACCTTCTGTTCTCACCACACACTTAAAGTGACAGAGCCAAGTGACTGCTGGCCAAAACCTAGAGCCAAACCAACTCTTCCTTCTTCAAATTGATTGTGTGGAGGATTTTTATCAGAGACCAAAAGCTAACTTGTATATTTTATACCTGTCAGAAGATGGACTCTGTAATACAGATAAGCGTCAGATAGGGAGCTTGTAAGGATATGGTAATATCTGCTCCTTTGCCTCCAAATAAGTTCTTCCTGTTCAAAAACGGGTTATACATTGCAAACATATTATTAAGCAACGACTCTTGAGTGGTGTATAAATCAAACCTGGAGGAAAACGCCTGAGGAAAAAAGATGATGCCTTAAGGAACATCATTAGCAATGTATTACAATAGAGAAAGGGATCCCTGCGGGCTCCTCCCAAGCCTTCCTTGAGCCCATGGTCTAAGGTGTGGATCACAGCATGAGGGCTGGCAGGCAGTGTGCACACCT